TAATGTTCATAAATCTAAGAGGTATTCTTCATTACCTTTTACGTTTATTTCAAAATTTATTTAAAGATGGTTTAGTAGGCTGTTAGTTTTGCAGTGATGAAAAGAAATGTAAAAAGTATGCAAAAGAAAAGGAAAAAGCTGATTAAATCAAAAATATGTTGCTTTTAGCTCATTAGATAACGTTAAACATGTTAAAGAATGTCTATATTGGTTACATAGACATCAAAAACTCATCATAGGTCAGATAGCATGTTTATATTACATAAATGTTGTGTATTTCCTGAATGCTATATTTATTTTTATGATGCTTTAAAAGATGTCCAAAGTCCATTTACAGTGATACGGTATCACCGTGGATATCACAACACACCCACAAATAAAAACACTTACAAACAGAGACAATAGGACCAGAAAGTGTGTGGATTACAGATACATAGCCTACCAGAACAATACAAAACTGTAAAATAAAATCATAGAAAAATTATTTATAAAATATTATATTTTAACCAGCAGATGGCGCCTCTTCTATTTCATTCAATCTGAGAGAACAGCATTGTGATGTTACTGTTGTATACTGATGTATAGACTAAAAATGAATCAGAGATATTTGTATAGCGCTTTATACAATACTGGTTGTGTCAAAGCAGCTTTACAGAGTCAAACAGGAAAATAGTTTGTCAATAATTAATAAGAGTCATTTTTCAGCTAAAGTCATTTCATTGATGATTCAGTGAAGTCATCATCCAGTTCAGTTCTCTTCCAATAGTGTCTGTGCAATCAGTCAAGCGTCCCCAACTAAGCAAGCCAAAGGCGACAGTGGCAAGGAACCAAAACTCCATCGGTGACAGAAATGGAGAAAAAACCTTGGGAGAAACCAGGCTCAGTCGGGGGGCCAGTTCTTCTCAGGACAGACCAAACCAGCATGATGTGGTTTAATTCCAGGCTGCAGCACAGGTCAGATTGAGCAGAGGACTCGTCTGGTTCCCGTGGTCTTGTGCCGATGGTCGTCGAGGTCTTCGCAGGGGATCTGTCTCTAGTTGACATGGTCTCCGCTGACATTCAGGGCTGTAGAGGTCGTCTCTAAGTGCTGATCCACCATCTGATCTGGATAATAAATCAACATTTGACTGACTGTCCTCATCCTACTAACCTCATTCGTCCTCAGATTCACAAACGGCAAACCCTCAGTGCAGTCGCTGCTTTAGCTCAGACACTGAAACAGCTGTGGCCTTACTGAGGGTGCAACCATGTTGTTTTATTATATAATGGATGCACGCATGCTTGCTAACATGTACACATCATGTCGTAGCCCATGCGATCTGCAAAATGTTTCATAGTCTGGCCGGCGCTGCTGGCTGTTAACTGGATGATGATGAGGTTTATCGACTTCCTGTGAAGTCATGCATACAGGATCCAAAATGAACTTTTTACCACGCTTGCCAGTGGCGGATGAAATTTACCGTCCATAAATGTTTTTCACGGGCCATGGAACTGTAATTTGCATTATGTTAAGGACAAATTGTTTTTTTTTTATTATTATTGTTATTGACAATGGCATTATTTAGTTTTGTTTTTATTTGTGGCATACAGCATCACAATGCAATCATGTTTCCATATTTCTACTAATTTTAACTTTTATTTTCTTGCCAAAGCCAAATATTTACTTGCATTTGGTGAGTGTTTATTCTGATGCATATTATATATGCCAAAATAGACATTTGGTTTGCCTCTGTTTAAAAAAAAAAAAAAAGCATGCATAATTAGGACATGTGTCACCATAGTACTGTAAACAGAATATTTTTGTCTGTTGACATGCATGCAAATGGCTAATATGAGAACAAAAATGTTGCACATTATTTTCCTGGGTAATATCAGAGCGCTTGCCACCAGAAAAACCCTGAAGAGCTCCAAATGCAGACTTTTCAGGTTCTTACTGTTATGGAGCACAGATAAATGTGTAAACACTTTTGGGATATATACCACAAAATGATATATGTGGTAGTCTTTGCCCTCAGTGAGAGCGAATGAACAGTTTGTTAGTGGAGCAGATTGGGAATGATTTAGTCCCGAGGGGAGGGGAGGGGGGTGTCAGAGAGAGAGAAAGTGAGAAAGAGGCAAAAATAGAGACATTATCACGATGCACAGAGATGTATGATTTTTTTTTATCATCTGGTGTTGATTAATTTTGGGGTAATGGAGGCCGTATTTATATCATGCATGTAATAAGTTTCCACATTTACATGCCTTTGGAAGATGCTTCATCTGAAGTGGCTTACATTGCATTCAAGATATACTGTACATACAAGCAGAGCTGGGTAGTAACTGATTACATGTAATCTGGATTACGTAATCAGATTCCAAAAATTAAATACTTGTAATTAGATTAAATTACGTTTTAAAATACTCTGAATCAGACTACAGTTACTTTTTTATTGATTACATGATTACATATTATTCCCACAATAGCAATAAAATATTCATAATCAGGGTGCGAACTACGGGGGAGCTCGGCTCCCCTTAATAAGACATGGGCTCCCCTGAAAACGTGATTTGTGAAATTTTGGGGGGTCTCAAAAAATATTGACAATGTGTTATTTTGACATGCAATTTCAGTTTTGTGTAATGTGATCATCGTGGATTATTATGTGTAAAATTGCAAAAATATCATTCATTCATGCATGAAGGCGATTTATTTATAGACTATTTGTGGGTGGCTGTTTGTTGTTTCACCTATCAATTTGTGTCGATAAAGTATAATAGGGTAAATCCTGTATAGTGATTTATCCTATATAGTGCTTGCATAAAGCCAGTAGTGCATACACTTGTAGCTGTTATGTATCTTTGTAAGACATTGTAAGCCCTCTTTTGAGGCACGCGCAAGCGCACGGCCGCTGGATTTACAAAAATCAGTTCAGGTTTAAGAAGTGTTTTAACTTTGCCTCAGCTACTGATGAACACATTAATTAAAGGTTATTTAACCATGTATTACTGTGTCTTTGGAAGGCATTTGTCTTTCAAACACATTAAAATGCACAAATTCAAGTTATTTCTTATTTACATGTAATGCAACCATTCACAAACTTTTTTTGTCAGCTAAACCTCTTTCACCTAATATATTTATTGAAGTAATCAAGGTCAAAAGTAATCAAAAAAGTAATCTGATTACATTACCTAAAATGTGAAATGTAATGGATTACGTTATCAACTACAATTTTTGCCATGTAATTTGGAATTTTGTAAGCAAGCAATTTGTAAGTAATCTACCCAGCTCTGCATACAAGTGCATATTTGTACACACGTGTAAACAAAGAGGCGAGCTAAAATAATTCAAAGTGTTCATAACCCTTACATTTGACTTGATTAATGTAGAATACACGTCTGACTGTAAAATATCTAATCTTTGTGCCGTTTCTTTATTATTGCATATGATAATCCATGTGGAGGTGATGCTGACAGCTTTATACGCATGGATGATAATCTCTGGGATTAGAGTTTTGCCCTTTTCCAAATAAACTAAAACGTTGGCGACAACTTTTCCTTTGATATGAATGTTGAATTTCATTCCGCACATTTACTTTCTCACTTTCTCTTCACAGGATTTGCTCGTCCTCCAGATGGATGCTGCATAGACGCTCTGAATCCTTCCTGCTCGCTGTCATTCCCGTTAACCGACTTGGAGGCGCACAAACACGCTGCGAAAACCGACGCGCGACGCGTTTTGACATTTCACGCGAGCCCGCAAAACTCAAACGCACGTTTTAAAGGGGTCATATGATGCTTTTTTAAAGATCATTATTTTGTGTATTTGGTGTAACAGAATGTTGACATGCTTTAATGTTCAAAAAACACATTATTTTTCAAATACTGTACATTATTGTAGGTCCTCTATGCCCCGCCTCTCTCAAACGCTTCGTTTTCTACAAAGCCCCCTCCTT